AACTTCTCTTTCTACTTTTTGAATTTTGGGGAATCCCCCAAATTAAAACTTTAAGTTAGAGATCTCAGAGTGGAAGCAGAGAAAATGGGAATTATTGGCTCTTCCTTCCCTTTATTTTGCTGTGGCTTCCACATCTGGATAAGGATAAAATACCTAGATACTCTATTCCTGCATGCTTCTGGTAAACACTTTTTTTTTTTTTTTTTAATTGAGACAGAGTTTTGCTCTTGTTGCCCAGGCTGGTGTGCAATGGCGCAATCTCAGCTCACTGCAACCTCCACCTCCCAGGTTCAAGCGATTCTCCTGCCTCAGCCTCAGGAGTAACTGGGATTACAGGCATTCGCCACCATGCCCAGCTAACTTTTTTTGTATTTTTAGTAGAGTTGAGGTTTCACTATGTGGGTCAGGCTGGTCTCGAACTCCTGACCTCAGGTGATCCACCCACCTCGGCCTTCCAAAGTGCTAAGGTTACAGGCATGAGCAACTGTGCTCAGCTGCTGGTAAACACTTTTTAAAGAGTCTAGACTTGATCCCCACCAATGTACCTACCTCTCCTGAACATTGCCAACATATACCCACATATTTTTCATCTCTTCCCTCATCTCCACAAGTCCTGTAGGAAACTCAAGCCTGACAATTGGTCCCAAAGCCACATCTGATCCATTCCATTTTTGTGATGGGAGGTGGCTTGGTGCTTGCTACTTGTGAATTTGTCATTAAGCACCTCTTGAGAGTTGGTGTTTTTATGGCTGCCCTCTTTCTAGGATTATCCCTCCACAAGAAAAAGATGGGATCTTTGTCTGGCAGAGGCCTCCTCTTGTGCAGGTTGAAGATGGCTCAACTCCAGCCAGGCACAGTGGTTCACACCTGTAATCCCAATACTTTGAGAGGCCAAGGTGGGAGGGTCACTTGGGCCGGGAGTTTGAGACCAGCCTGCGCAACATAATGAGACTCCATTTCTACAAATAATAATAATAAAGACAGTTCAAGCTCCAGGCCCATTCCTGGTCCCTTGTTCCCTGGTGCTCTTCAACTTTAGGAATGCTATAGCTGGGATTTCTTCTTGGCCAGGAGCCTTCTCATCCCCAACTTCTCCAGTGTTCTGCCTTTTAGGGGCTCACAGGTGTCCATGGTTATACCTCTTTCCCCCAAACCTAAAGGACCTTCATCTGTCCCATGAAGTCCACATGTGTAGTAGTCATTGGAGTCCTTGCTGGGTATGTACAATCACCTCAGTTGATTGAGTTTTTCTACTCCATAGCTGAAGCTGCCTCTCCTCCTCCATTTTTAATGTTAGTTTCAAAAAGTAGAAGAATCTAAAAGACTACCCTGGGTTTGGCAGCTGGAATTTTCCCCAAAGTCTTATCCTGGAACAGACCTAAAACTCACCTATTATATAGGAAACCTGATTCATGCTGTTCAAATCTCTAGCTCCTGTTTCCTCTGCCTTCTATAAGAGTTTCTTCAGTCCTGGTTCAGAAGTATCTTTTCTGTCACCCTCTGGTACAACAGAGAAGAATTCAGAACATCCCTGTGGTTATAAACCCTCCTCACTGCTAGCTTTGTCAGAGCATTCAACCCTCAGCCAACTAATACTGAGGCTTGAAAATTCCCCTTGCCAGACTAAGAGGTTCTGCTGTCAATTCTCCATATCTGGCATCTACCACCCACAGCATCTCAGCAGAGCACCCCAGCCAAGAGCACTATTTCCCCATGCTAGGGGTGACCTTTCCTAAAAATATCGTCAACTTTCAGATCCTCATAAATCTGTAGATTAACTAAATAGCCTTTCCTTCACCTCTCCCCCAATAACTAGGCCAACGATTCTGGTGGTTGTTGAGTTGTTTTCTTATGGAGATTTGTCTACCATATCTAACACAACAACTCCATTCCCTGGTATCTCTCTTGGATTGTAGGCTGATTAACATCTTTAGCAAACTTTAGTAAGGTTGCGTTGTCCCCCCTCCTGAAGACCTTGCTGGGCTCTCTTTATTTGTTCAGGAACTTAATAGAATTTGCACAGTCTTTTCAATTTTATGTGGTTTTCTTTTTCACAGTTATTTTGAATCTCGCCATTCTTAGAGGCTTCTGGAAGTCTACATCTACCTCCACGTGCAAATTTTCCAATGTTATCTTCATCCTTGCCCTAAATATCAATTGGCTTTATTTTTAGAGGTAATGATGAGTCCATGGCATGGATATAAACTTCAATAAGATTCAAAATAATTCAAAATATAATCCACATATCCTCAGCCTCATTTGCCTGTAACTACCAAATTAGATATTATTTAATAACTTTTTTTACCCAACTTACTCTAGGATAAGCACCCACTTTCCTACTTGTAGGAATTAGCCCTACCTCAAAGTGTCCTTCAGTCATTTTAAATAGTTTCTCCAGGGCCTCTTGAGTTGAGAGTAAGTTCTTGAATGGCTGGTCACCTTGCCAGCATACTACTTGTTCAGCTTCTACGGCAGATGGCCCCCAGGAGCTTGCTGCATCTCCAATAGTGACCACAAGCAGCAACCTATTTTGGCTTCCAGCGGGGACAATGTTTTCTGTCCTGGCTGCTGCCGCCTCTGCTGGTGGGGCCGGAATCTGCCTCCTTGAGGCTGGTGTGACTTGTAACTGCTGTCCTGATACTACCTGACTTCCTCCTCTCTTTCGCATTGTGTTTCCCAAGATCTGGGCAATACAGACTTTTTCATCATGTTAGAATTGGATGTGGGAGTTGAGGAGAAAGGAAGAATGAAGGATGTCTGTACTACCCTCAACTCACTTCTCACAGAGGTGTACTATCACCATTCACAATTATTTGCCACATGTCTGTCTTTCCCTCTAAACCACAAACTCCTTATTTATCACACAGTGCATGACTTAGACTCCTAGTCAGTGCTGCTTAACTAGTGGAAAACTATGATAGACGTATGAAGTACCATGAGGCAATAAAGAAACTCAGAAATAAGCAGGTAGTTCAGGTTGGGTAGGAAGCTCTAAACGTAGGCCCTGTTAAAACTCGGGAAATTCTATTGCTGAAAGGAAGAAGGAGACAGTGGTTACAACCACGCATTCCAGCTTGAGGCCTATGCAAAACTCATGAATATAAAAAAGAATAGCTTGTTTGGAGAACAGAAAACTTCAGAATCCTCTTGAGCATGGTGGTGCACGCCTGTAATCCCAGCACTTTGGGAGGCTGAAGTGGGCAGATTGCTTGAGTCCAGCAGTTCGAGACCAGCCCTGGCAACACAGTGAGACCCCCGACTCCACAAAAAAAATTTTAAAAATAACCAGATGCAGTGGTACACACCTATAGTGCTAGCTACTTGGGAGGCTGAGGTGGGAGGATAGCTTGAGTCTGGGAGGTTAAGGCTGCAGTGAGCCATAGTCATGCCACTGCACTCCAGCCTGGGTGACAGAGCAACACCTGTCTCAAAAGAAAAGTTAAGTTCAGAATCCTAGAAAGTAAAGTGTGAGAGACAGAACTGAGGGAATGAGGAATAGAGATAAGTGGAGGCCTCATTATGAAGCTCCCCTGTCTCTTACCTCATCTCCTTTTAACCCTCACCCTCCCAACACACAACCACTCATTTACATCTGCTTCAGCCTTTTATCTGTCAGGATCTGATAGGCCTCAGGTTCTTTAAAGGTACCTGCTCTCCCTCTACCTAGAATGTTCTTTCCCCCAGATCTTCACTATAACTGTCTCCTTCTCTTCATTCAGGTCTCAGCCCAAATTTCACCTCCTCAAAATGGCCTTCCCTTACAGTGCTAGCCAAAGAAGCCCTCTCCACATTAACTTTTATTCCTATTTTAATGTCTTACTAGGATGTATCACAATCTAAAATAACTTTACTTACGTTTTTTGTTCAATGCCTATAACTTCATCTAGAAAATAAATTCTGCCCAGGCACAGTGACTCATACCTGAAATCCTTGCACTTTGGGAGGCCAAGGTGGGAGGATCGCTTGAACCCAGGAGTTAGAGACCAGCCCAGGTAACATGGCGAAACCCCATCTCTACAAAAAATACAAAAAATTAGCTGTGGATGGTCCCAACTACTCAAGAAGCTGAGGTAGGAGAATCATTTGAGCCCGGGCGTTCAAGGCTACAGTGAGCCATGATCATCATACTATGCACTCCAGCCTGGATGACAGAGGAGACTGTGTCTCAAAAACAAACAAACAAACAAAACAAAACAACAACAAAAAAACCAGGAAATTCTGCGGAGTCAGATATATGGTTTACATCTCTGTATAGCCAGTGCCTAGAATGCTGCTCCACACGTTTTGTTTCCTTTTTCTTTTCTCTTTTTCTTTTTTTTGAGACAAGGTCTCGCTCTGTCACCCAGGCTGGAATGCAGTGGCACAATCTCAGCTCAATGCAGCCTCAACCTACCAAAGCTCAAGTGATCCTTCCACCTCAGCCCCCTGAGTAGCTGTGACTACAGGTGCGTGCCACCATGACCAGCTAATTTTCATATTTTTTGTTTGTTTGTTTTTGTAGAGATGGGGTTTTGTCAAGTTGTCCAGGCTGGTCTTAAATTCCTTGGCTCAAGCTGTCTGCCCACCTTGGCCTCCCAAAGTGTTGAGATTACAGGTGTGAGCCGCCATGCCCAGCCTAATTTTTTTTTAAAAATTTAATTGTTATGAGTACATCTACATTTTTTAATGATGGGGGAAAAAAATCTCAAGAAGCAAAATATCTTGTGAAAATTATATAAATTCAAATTTCAATATCCATAAATAAAGTCATGCTCATTCATTTATGTATTGCCTGTGGAGGCTTGGCAGATCCGAGTATTTATAACAGAAATTATACGTCCATAAGGCCTAAAATATTTACTATCTGGCTCTTTACAGTAAAAGTTTGTTGACCCCTGGTTTAGACCCATAGTAATGTACATGAGAAAGAGTAAAATTAACTTACATAAATTGTAAAAAGTGTATCTTAAAATGTGAAACTATAGATGCCTCCACTGAGTTATTATGGGCTGTGCTGGCATACACGTTTCTATAAATGTGCATGCTCTTCCTGGTATTTCTCATAGAACATAGAGAGTGAATAATAGAATTCACTGCTGGCTGGGTTTTGATGCAAAAATTTCCTGTTTAAAAAAAAAATTGTCACTTTTTCCTTTTACCTAGTTGCACTCCTGAGAGCAAGATGGGTCACCAGCAGTTGTACTGGAGCCACTCATGGAAATTCGGCCAGGGATCTCGCTCTTGTCACGTCTGTTCAAACCGGCACGGTCTGATCCGGAAATATGGCCTCAATATGTGCCGTCAGTGTTTCTGTCAGTATGGGAAGGATATCGGCTTCATTAAGTTGGACTAAATGATCTTCCTTCCAAAGATTACCCAGGGCATCTACTCAATGAAAAACCATGATAGCTCTTTGTACATAAAATAAATATTTGAAAAAAAAATTGTCAGCTTGGCCAACATTGCGAAACCTCGTCTCTACAAAAAATACAAAAATTAGCCAAGCATAGTGGCGCACACCTGTAATCCCAGCTACTCCCGGAGGCAGACAGGAGAATCGTTTGAACCCCGGAGTCCGAGGTTGCAGTGAGCCAAGATCGGGCCACTGTACTCCAGCCTGGGCAACAGAGTGAGACTCTGTCTCAAAAAAAAAAAAAAAAAAAAAAAGATATGTGACATTTCTAACCCTGAAGAATCTCATTCTGTCTCCTGGACACAGAGACAGTTCTCCAGAGACGACATCTGTGGTGAAGTAGCTAATACCCCATGCACTTGTTATCAGATCAGTAACAGAGCCTGACTGGGTATCTCTGAGCTGTGACTGCTCCTGGACTGAATGGGGCATTTATCACACTGTTGTGGACAAACCAGCTGACCATCATGCACACAGGCCCAAGCGCCTATCAATTAGCTTCTGTCCATTAGCTGTCCAAACACACACTCTGGCCCTGGTACTGCAGTCACGTTATCAGTCCCCTCCAGACCCTGGAAGCATGATCGGCCATGAGTTCCCTGTCTCCTACCATCCCTCAGCTCCACTTGGACAAACTGTCAGTTAATTAGCTAATGTGAACAAAAACACTTGAAGCTAAAAAATGCACAGCTGGGCTATTATGATCATTGTCTCTTGCTCCTCAACCCCCTGCAATTTCTTTCACTCCAAAGTCTGCCCACAGGACTCCTTCTATCTGTCAATAGGAAAATTACATAGGAAGTGACAGAACAGTCACCCATGTTCAAGGTCAAAGCCTCTCAATCATCCTGATGTTGCTGCTATGGATTCAGGCAACTAGAATCATAAATCCCAGGGCCTGAGGTTTGGATTGGCTTTCCTATTTATTTATTTTGAGGCAAGGTCTGGCTTTATCGCCCAGGCTGGAGTGCAGTGGTGTGATCTCAGCTCACTGCAACTTCTGCCTCCTGGGCTCAAGCCATCCTTCCACCTCAGCCTCCCAAGTAGCTGGGACTATAAGCACATGCCAGCACACCCAGCTATTTTTCATATTTTTTGTAGAGACAGCATTTTGCCATGTTGCCCAGGGTGGTCTCGAACTCAGAAGCTCAAGCTTTTTGCCCACCTCGGCCTCCCAAATTGCTGGGATTATAAGACATAAGCCACTGCGCCTGACCATGGGCTGACTTTCCTCTTAAAATGAACTAGGGGCTCAGCAGATCCAGACTTCCCCAACTTACTGAACTTGGGATGATTTCTTCAGCTGGATGGACCATTTAGAAAGTCAAAACAGCCTTTTGGAATGATTATGTGGAAATCATAGCCTTATTCACTTTAAACCTTATATTCCCAGGGCCAAAACTCCATTATCCAGCTCTCAATTCAAGCTCCTCTCACTGCAGTGGAAGAGGAGAGTTTAGAGTCAGCAAGGACTCCAAGAGAAATCCCTGTTCAGAAAGTTGGTCCTTGAAGGACGGGGTGATGGCCAAAGTGCCCAAAGGTGCTGAAGCTTTGTGCAGTTATCAGATGCCAAAACAAGAAGGTGCCCAGGGCAGACACATGTTATTCCTCTCTATCTTCCCTTCTGAAAGGTATTTCATAATACCTCTATGGAGGGGACTGAAAATACCTGACCTCAACCACCCAAAGCCCAATTTGAGAAAAGTTAACAGCACATTTTTATTGCAATCATATTTGGGCAATTTCTATATGTTCCCTGATAATCCTTAGGGAGCAGGCAGCACATCCTTTGTTTCTCCCTGCATTTCTATCATCACTTCTCTCCATTTCCATTCCTAAAGCTTCATCATTACTCACTATGACAGCTGTTACAGCCTCCAGGGTTACCCCATCCTACTCCTCCTCACCCCCATTCTTGCTGACTCTAAGCTGTCCTCCTCCACCGCAGTGAGAGAAATCATTTGAAAACACAATTGTGACTATATCACTGCCTGTCCAAAAGTGTCTGATGGCTCTTTATCATTCTCAGAATACATCCAAACTCCCTAACTTAATTAAGTCACGTTAGAGTCTGCTCTCCACTTCTCGCCTTCCAACATACCATGCTTGTACTATATCAGCCAGTTTCCCCCACCCCACTTGTGACTTGGGCATGCTAGTGTCTCACACCTTTCCTTCTTCCCAGAATGCCCTCTCCACCTCATCTTCATCCATCCTCAGAGGTCAGTCCAAGGGCCACCTCTTCCAGAAAGCCTTCCATGAGCTCACCTCTGAACTCCCAGAGCACTGCACTTGTTATTCTCTTGGGCCTGCTCTGCTTTATACAGTGGCTACTAATGTACAGCTGTTCTCTCCCCCATGGGACAGTAGGCATCTAAAGAAAGTCCTACAGCCTAGGGTGTAGCATATAGCAGGTGTTGGTACGTTTAGTGACTGATTAACAAACTGCAGAAGAAAGATTACAGGCTAAAAAGATCGTGAGTCAGAGAAACAGAACTGGGATAGAGGGAGAATCACAAATCATTATCAAAAAAGAATGGTTGACAAGGTTAAAGACTAAGTTGTCATCTTAATAGCAATAGATTACAGTCAGGAGAAGTGGCTCACACCTGTAATCCCAGCACTTTGGGAGGCTGAGGTGGGCGGATCACGAAGTCAGGAGTTCGAGACCAGCCTAACCAATATGGCGACACCCTGCCTCTACTAAAAATATAAAAAATTAGCCAGATGTGGTGGCATGTGCCTGTTATCCCAACTACTCAGGAGGCTGAGGTATGTTCAAGGCCAAAGCCTCTCAATCCTCCTAATGTTGCTGCTATGGATTCAGGCAATAGCCATCTCCAGGCCTACATTCTTCAGCTTCAGTTCCCTGTCCTCAACCCCATAATAGGAGAGAGGGCCTCTGTCCCATTTATTCCAGCAAAAGGCACTCATTGCCCCACTTGGGTGAAATGCCCATCACTAAACCAATTTTTGTCACGATTGGCCAAGATAAGATTTCAATGCCCATCCCTGGAATTCAGGTGTGGACTAGGCCCATTTGGAACACACGGACCAAGATGGGGAAGAATGCTCCCCAAAGGAAAATGGGGAGACTGCAACCAAAAGGAGGAGAGACTCCCAGGAAAGTAAAAAACAATAATGGCCAAACCACATCAATGTAGTTAGGGAGATAGTCTAATCAGTAGAGGAATTCACCAGTCAGATTGGACCACATCATTGACCTGATGAAACTATGCCTCTTGGTCCTCCAATAAACTACTGAACACCCAAAAAGCAATGATTCATTTATCAAATTTGCAAGGATTTTTTTTTTTTTTTTTTTTAGACGGAGTCTCGCTCTGTCGCCCAGGCTGGAGTGCAGTGGCCAGATCTCAGCTCACTGCAAGCTCCGCCTCCTGGGTTTATGCCATTCTCCTGCCTCAGCCTCCCGAGTAGCTGGGACTACAGGTGCCCGCCACCTCACCTGGCTAGTTTTTTGTATTTTTTTTTAGTAGAGACGGGGTTTCACCGTGTTAGCCAGGATGGTCTCGATCTCCTGACCTCGTGATCCATCCGTCTCGGCCTCCCAAAGTACTGGGATTACAGGCTTGAGCCACCGCGCCCGGCCTAGGATTTTTTTTTTTTTTAAGTCAGAATCTCACTCTGTCACTCAGAGTACAGTGGTACAATCATAGCTCACTGCAGGCTTGAACTCCTGGGTTCAAATGATCCCCCAACCTCAGCCTCCCTTAGTAGCTGGAACTACAGGCATGTATCACCACACTAGCTTTTTTTTTTTTTTTTTGGTAGAGACAGTGTCTCACTATGTTGCCCAGGCTGTTCTCAAATTCCTGGCCTCAAGTGATCCTCTTGCCTTGGCCTCCCAAAGTGCTGAGATTACAAGCATGAGTCACTGCACACAGCCAAGGATTTTTTTCTTTTCTTTTTTTTTTTTTTGTTGAGACAGAGTCTGGCTCTGTCACCCAGGCTAGAGTGCAGTGGCGCGATCTCGGCTCACTGCAAGCTCCGCCTCCCGGGTTCACACCATTCTCCTGCCTCAGCCTCCTGAGTAGCTGGGACTACAGGCGCCCACCACCACGCCGGGCTAATTTTTTTGTATTTTTAATAGAGTCGGGGTTTCACCGTGTTTGCCAGGATGGTCTCGATCTCCTGACCTCGTGATCTGCCCATCGTGGCCTCCCAAAGTGCTGGGATTACAGGCATGAGCCACCATGCCTGGCCCCAGCCAAGGATTTTTAAAATGTTAATACTCAGTGCTATGTCATAAGACAGGCACATTAATATCAGGGTGATGGCATGTAATTGGCACAACCTTTCTGGAAAGCATTTTGGCAATATATGTCAAGATCCTTAAAAATATTTTGATCCTCTGACCCAGTAATTCCACTTTCAAAAAAATTGTAAGAAAATAATCCAAGCCAGGCATGGTGTCACGCACCTACAGCCCCAGTTACTCAGGAGGCTGAGCCAGGAGGATCGCTGGAGCTCAAGAGTTCGAGGCTATAATGTGCTATGACTTAACCTGTGAATAGCCACTGCACTCCTGTCTGGGCAACAGAACAAGACCCAATTTCAGAACAAGACCCAATTTCAGAAAAAGAAGGAAAGAATGTAAGCCAAAATATCGACAAAGATTTATGCATAAAGATTTTCTTCATAGTATTTTCAGAATAGCAAAAATTAGAAACAATTTATACATTTAAGGATAAGAGTTTGGTAAAATAGGCAGAGCATGGTGGCTTGAGTGGGGTGGCTCATGCCTGTAATCCCAGCACTCTGGGAGGCCCAGGTAGGGGACCGCTTGAGCCCAGGAGTTAGAGACCAGCCTGGACAACATGGCAAAACCCCATCTCTACAAAAAAATACAAAAATTAGCTGGGAGTGATGGTGTGTGCCTGTATTTTCTGCTACTCAGGAGGATCACTTGAGCCCAGGAAGCAGAGGTTGCAGTGAGCTGAGATCGCCTCATTGCACTCCAGCCTGGGTGACAGAGTGAGACTCCATCTCAAATAAATAAATAAATAAAGCAACATACAAAACTGTCTATGTGGTATAA